ATTAGGTAAATAATCAATTTACTATTTTGTCTAGTGCGAAATTTATTTTTAAAGGGTAAAAAAGGCGAATAACATTTCAATAGGGGCTTCGTGCTTTTAATATAGTATAGATATAGATATATATACATACTTGAAATATTTTTTGTCCTAATTACCCTCCTGAACTTACCGGTTTAGTAGCTTTAGCTCCCTTAAATGCTGACATGGCAAAGAGAGGAGATACACTCTCTTTTAGGCACATGAGAGTGATGAGAAAAATCAGGCTTCAACTAGGATATTTTTCAACCGTTAATTTTCACAGTCATATACAACCGTGTATTTTCTTACTTTTTCTTAATATACCACATAGATCTTACCTTAATTTATAATTTTTAATTTCTGTTTTCCGGTGCAATGGCAACATTTTATTGTCTTTTTTTTTACTTCAAATATGTAAAAAAAAGACTAGACTAAATCAATTATTTTTAACGAGATAAAAGTATTTTGCCAAAATAACTTCTTTAGATGCAAGATATTTTAAGTATTTAATTTTTTTTCTACGCCAACTGTATAAAAAGTTGGCTAAAGTTTCATTATTCTAACCAGATAAATATATTGTAGCTAAAATAATAGAGCTCAAAGCCTCAAACTATTAATTTATTTTATTTCTTATTTAAATGCAACGACTTTTTGGTCCCTAGTATATACATTTTCCCCCATGGAATCTATATAAAGATGGCTAGAACTCCATTGTTTTAGTCAAATACTTTATTTTTAGCTAAAATAATGGATTTCAACTTTGTATTTTTGTTTTTCATCTTTCGATGCGATGACGATTTGTTTCAACTGCGTATTTCATTTATTTTTCTGAGCCAAATATGTAAAAAGAAAAAAAAATGTTGGGTGAAACTCCAGCATGTTTAACTAAATAAAAGAATAACTAATAATGAAGTTCCAAACATAATTCTTACAAATTTGGCTGGAAACAATGATTTAAAAAGATTAATGAATTTGAAAAGGTAAGAACATATATTTTATTATTAAAAAAATATCATGTGGCCAAAAAATATCCGCGTGACAGCGAGTGTATCACACCTCCTCGGGCTGAGGTCGTCCAGGGCAGTAATAAAGACCAGAACTAATTTAGATTTGCACAAAAAAATGTATCTAATTCAAGAGGGTCCCGATATATTATGCCTACAAATAAATATAAATATTGTTACAGTCCATGATACAAATATGCACTTCTGAATCTTCCATTTTCTTCTAAAGAAGCAGCAACAGCAATTGTCTTTGAAGTTTGTCAGCACTGGCTACAACCTACAAGTTATATTCTTTGAAAAAATTGAATATAGCTTAAATAGCAGGGTGAAAACTGGCCACCCCATCAAATTTTACCCGCAATTGGTAAAGACTTTGACCTCGAATTGAATTGGGCTCACACTTTTCAACTGGTTTTTATGCTTTCTCGCCATTCAGTTTATGCATCAGCCATGGCCTCATCTTGCCATTTTTTGGTTTTTAGATAAAGACCGTGTTTTGAGTTTTTAGTTACTGCTTGCTCCTTTTCAATCTACTCTAGAGTTTAGGACTCTAATTGGATCTATAATAACAAGAGAAACTCATAAAAATCTCTCGATGTTCAGACATCCAATCACTTGAAAATAATCTGTAAGAATTTGAAGGCTTCTATTTAATTGAACAGAACTGATTGAGTGAAGGGAAGAAGAGAATGAGGCTACAAATTCTGAACCATATGAGTAAAAGATAAAGTCATATATTCTCTCATCAATGCTTAGATTAATAAAGACTCAAATATTCTGCAAGTTATCAGCTGTACCTCGATGTTTACACATACATCCCTACAACATGTCAAATTGATGGATACACTTGGGATGGACGTTCAAGAAAAAAACATTGAAAAACGGAGTTCCCAGAATATTCTCTTTCAAGTAAAAATATTTAAAGGGCTAATGCAAATTCGAACATCAGAAAAGATCTCTTACTTGAAGCCTGCACATTTCTTCTAGAGGAAGTTCCTTTGGAAAGATCCAGAAGAGAACCTGGAAGTGAGACCCTGAGCCATGTCTGCAGCTTCAAGCTTAACGTTTTGCCTTCCGGCTGTCAAATCCTTTTCACGGTCCCAAGGTTTCCATGGATGATTTCCTTCCCATTCTTCTTTCATTGATTCCTGCTTAGATTTTTTCTTTGATTTGGCCCGCACCGTTTCTTGGTGCTTTTCTACCATAGATTTTGATCTTTTCGCTTTATTGTACTGTTCCACCAGTTCAGCGTCGACACTTGCTCTACTCTTTTCTTGTTCTTTAGAAGCAAGTGCTGAAGCCTCATTAAAGGCTTCCAAATAACTGAATGCAAAACAATTAAGCTGAAATATCTAATAATATAATATCCAAAAGAATCTGAATGAGAGAAGTTGAACATACTTCATTTTGGCTTTCTGAGCTCGATCTGATGGGGTGTCTGTCCAGGCACTAGTATCACCTCGGCCTTCTTTCGAACTCTTGCTAAAGCTCGTCGTTGATTGCATAGTCACGCCGCCCTACGCAGTTAATCAGTCAAGGAATTCATCATGCAGAGTTTTACGAAGTTAAAAAGGGAAAGAAACACTTCATCAAGGAAGCAGTTTCTCATTCAGAAATTAGCCAAGGATTTCACGTTTTATTTAAGGCAAAATACATACTTTACCCATCGACCTTGTCCCCAAATCCCTCTTACACACCTCTTAAATACGAAAATAATATTATACACCAAAACTTTTAAAGGTGTGTCAATTACACACCACTTCGGTGTTTGACCACATCTGCTCAAAGATTGCTCTTACACGCGCTAATCAGCATCTGACACGTGTCAAATCGAGGGAAAAAAAAAACTGAAAAAAACCTCTGCAACCCCTCCCCCTCCCCCTCTTCATCTTCCTAACCCCATATCTTCTCCATCACCACCATACTACCACAACCCTTCCACCACAAGAACCTTCTTCCATAACTATAGATTCAATTATTTGCCGATTTTTAACAACATCCATCAAATCCTTATACAAATTTCAAATTCAAGCTCAAACTCAAAGCTTCAAACTTGTTAATAGTGTTTTTTGAATTTTATCAAAATTAATTACCTAAGTAAAGTTTTACTCAACAATAATCACGAATTCAAACTAATTTTTTAGGTCATGGAACACCAAAATCAACAAGACCCGATTAATTTTCAAGCTTTTTCAAAAAGTCAATAATGGTGATTTTTACAAAACCCAATAGCTCTTATGCTCTTCTTCTTTTTTTCTTTTCTTCTTGATCGTGGGGTTGGAGAGACGAAACATGAGGGGTAGATAAAACTAGGATGGGGATTGGGGACAAAGACGATCGGGGGG